CCATGCCGAACTAGAATGATACGTCAAAGATGAAGGTGTTGGGGTTAGCAGATCAGTCTTGTTGGGGTAACCAGTCGATCCATTAAGGGAAGCAACTTGGGCTGCTCTGGACCATCAAAGGGTGTCCTCACAATAGCAAATAAGAGAAGAATGGAACAGTGTCGGGTGCGAAGTAGGGAGAGATGAGGTGAAAGTAGTAGGGCAAACGACATGTATAGGCGTAATGGTTGTCATTAACACAATGGAGAAGTGGAAATGAGAGAATATGGCAAGGTGGGTGGTGGGTAAGCGAAAATGATGGAGTCATTTGTAATCCAGCTCCAGCATTAAGAAAACAAAAATAATGGCCGTTAACGTATTCGTCTGCTATTCAATAACTTTGGTTCTTAGTCTGGTAAGAGAGAGAGAGAGGCAGAGAATAGTTCAATGAATGATATAGTTTTAAGAGCAAACAAATGGACTAAGTTTTGTACGTTTTTTATCAACCATCGTTACATAAACTATGCAAATGATGGACCYTCCTCCTAAGTAAGACAAAGGAATTAGAGAAAGATTCGTTGTACCATCCGCGTGGGTTTTAATCTATCATTTGTGCATTCAATATACTCAATTGCTCCCATTGTTAGCAATTATCAATTAATTTGTTTAGAGGATTAGTTGTTTAATTATCAATCGCTCCCATTCAATCTCCATCTGACGCCATGCCATAACAGAATGAAAGAAAATGGGCAAAAATGAAGAGTGAACCAGATAAAAGAACATGGCAATCCCAAGTTATAAAATCAGATAAAACAGAGCCTTACTGCATGAGGATTCAGATTTCAAAAGAGATCGTACACATCAAGGAGGAGAGGAGGTTGGGAAAAGGTTTGGTTGAGGTTGATTTCTCATTTCATCTGAAGGAGGAGAGAAAGAGGAAGCAAGGGTTTTGAATACTTAACTTCTATGCTATCAACTGCTATTTTCTCCTCTTTGTGAAGAAGAAGAACACCGTCTTCAKAAGCTTTCTTGGCTCTCATCCAGCTCAGCGACGTCGTGCTGGTTCGGATGCTCTCTGTTGTTGCTAATGAGATTGAGTTTCTAGAGCAGCAGATTTACAATAACGAAGGGGATGTTGAGCCAACTGTATCAATACTCAATGGCTTTCTCGCGCTCACTAGATATTGCATATTCTTGCTTTTTGGATTTTGGGAAGAAGAAGAAATGGGTTTTGGGAATCAAAAGAAATATGGGCATTTTAGTAGCCATTAGAATTGTAATAAAATGACTTTTATACCTTTTATCAAACAAAAAAATAAAGAGAGTTAATACCTTGAATATAAGACTTAATGAGAGGGGATTAAATGAGGTGGAAAGTAATAATTYAACTTACATTTTCAACCCTTACAATTAGAGATGAAATAAATAGATAAATATGGGCATTTTAGTAGCCATTAGAATTGTAATAAAATGACTTTTATATCCTTTATCAAACAAAAAAATAAAGGGTAATTTTAGTCCAAAAAATTTCCACTATTCATTCACACTTATATATAGTATAGATATAGATTAGTCGTACACTTGAGTCCCCCCATAAGGACCACAATTCTTTTTATCACTTTTTTGGGCATAACACAACAACACTCAATTAGCTCTTGAGTCTCGACTAACGTACCTCCRCTAGGACAACCCAACTAACCTCTCAACTAACAACAATTCATTAGATCAAATAAGTCCAAAAAAGATCATGTCAAATACCATCTAGCACAACGGAAATTTCCTTATTAGTACCCTATACTTTGGGTCTAGTGCCACTTTGGTCCCCAAACTTTAAAATTTGACAATTCCGTACCTGAACTTTCAAATTGTGTCAATCTAGTACCTACTGTTAACCAACCGTTAAATACCTTTGAAAAAGACACAAATGCCCTTTGAGTGTCATCTAATTTTCTTCATCAACCATCCAAACATTGACAAGAAATTAACAATTCTAAATCCTTGCCTCTTTTATTYAAGAAAGATAGGGTCCAAAATGCCCACTAAGGCATGCCCCCAACTTTCTTGAATARAAGAAGCAAGAATTTGGGAATGTTAATTTTTTGTCAACGTTTGGATGGTTGATAAAGAAAATTACATTTGCGTCTTTTTCAAATGCCACTTAACTGGTTAACGGTAGGTACTAAATTGGCACTAGGCCCAAAGTACAGGGTACTAATCGATAGG